CCATTGTAAACAGCTGAGAGTCTGTAAATTTTGGCAATTAACCTGATTTGCAATGGGGGTTGAATAATTTCGAGTATATTATTATTATTATTGTGCTCCATTACATGAGAGTAAGTATATAAGTTGACATTCTTATAACACAATTATTTAAGGTGGTCATGCAGAATCAGAAGCATGAATCAGAAGCATGGCCACATAGTTAAATCTTAAGATCAGCAGTAAGACACAGCAAATGGATGACATCCCTCCACACAACCTCCTCCCATTCCCAATGCGGCTGATCATCTGTAAAGCAAGAGTAGGCGAGATAAGAATATCAATCTTATCTCTGTCGAATGACTCACTGTGGGGAATGGTGTAAGAGGAAACATCTGGAGAAGGTCACGCATCATGCCGTCTACCATTGGCGCGGCTGACTGCAGACAATCACAGGGCAAAGATGCTCAGAATCATCAACATTTATCGGCATAATGAGACAGAACGCTACATGTCCTTGTTTGACGTTGTGTAAGCTGTTCCATCACTGAAATAAGGTCTCCTCCCAGCAAGGTGAAAGGAAACAGGTACAACTAAGGCATTGGGTTCTCACTAGTCTCATTCTCAGACCCATGGTCCATTAGCTAAACATCTGATGCATAAGGCACAAAAAAATTGGAAACAACGGAGTTCCAAAGTCGTCTTCTGATTTATTGAATTCTTCAGGATTTCACGGAGACGTGCGTGTGTGTGTGTGTCACATTCTTTAACGGTCCACCAGGAAACAAATGACAGGAAACTGTGACAACGAGCACTTATTAGTATCAATTAAATGCTGCATGTGAAGTATATGAAGTTCATGGCATACCTTCTTTAAAATACATCTATGATTTTTACACGGCAGTCTGTTATTGAAAGGACATCTACTTTATATTTTCATGCCCCTAAACATCATGCTGAACAGAACAAACTGTGATTGGTTGCTTTACATGGGCCTCTAGGACAGTTCTTGGCCAATGGAAGCTGTTATGGCATCTGTGAGAGACAGACAGCGAGCACTACAGTCTTATACTGGTGTTATCTCCATATAGGGCGAGTGTCTTAGACAGCCAATCAATAGATAAGTGGTGGAAAGACAGTTCTGGTCTTGTTTTCTAGTCCGAGAGGGAGCTGGAACAATCTAGTGATTGTGACAGGCCTCTCAGAGCCTGTAATACCTGAAAGTCTAAATAATGAATGAATGCAGAGCGCTGCCCTGCTCTTTGACTCACGGGTAGAAAGCCACACTGGGGAAAGTGAGGATTGCTTGTTAAAGGTAGAGGCCAGACAGCCAGAGACAGATTATCAAAGACACATAACAGGCTAAAGCTCACAAGGAACGTGGCGTGTTAACAAAATTTCCTTACCTAGTCCTGCTCCAAACAGGTAACTTTAAAGAGAACGTAACATCAAAGCCCAGTCGTGGTCTGATCTGCAGCAAAATAATGCAATTGATGTCACAATAGTGAAATGTCAAGTAAAGAGTTGATAGCACACACACCAGATTTTTTTAGGAAAATGTTAGCCAGTCTTGAATTGCACTTTGCATGAATTAAGAGAGCTGCTCCGATCCATAAACTCCACTAATAAGGTTTTCGATTATTCCAGGACCAGTAATTTCAACACAAAGACATTCACTCTGCTTTTTTTTTACACACTTTGTATTACTCTCGCCATTAGGAAAGGACAAACCTCAGGAGGTCTGGGGAAAAGTTCAAAAAAACATATAAAATAAAACAAATAAAGTCCCTCGCAGGATGGGGGGCCAGGGGGTACTCACCGGGGCGTTCTCACAAGACTTCGCTCTACTCCCCTACGGTGGCGGCTGCGATCCTTGCGGGGTACGGAGAGACGAGGCGAGAGAAACGGAGATGGAAGCATGAGGAGCGACAGATCCGAGAGAGGGGAGAGAAAAAAAAATCTTGGTCCGGTTCCCACAACGCGCTGCCATCTTGTTCTCCACCAGCTGGGCGATCTTCTCCACGTTGCCTGCCGGTAGCACTGGATAGCCCTTGGTGGACAGCTCAACATTTCTTGGGCCGCCTGGTGGGCGGCGACGGCTCCTCGGGGTTCGGGCAGACGGCAGGAATCCCCTGTTCCCTGCTCCTCCCATTCATGGCGGATGGCAGCAGGTTCCAGCCCACGGCAAATGGTGTCGACTCCCTTGCGGATGGCTGCCGTCCCTCCAGGCGGCTGCCAGTGAGCTCAACCGCCCCCCCGGCAACTCACTCCAGTGCACCGCCTCGAGTGTCCATGTCACGGACTCTGCCCACCATGCTCGATGGCACCGCGGATGTCCCACAGCGACGAGGATTCTCTGACAGCACGGAATGCGGAATCCTTCTTCCTGGGTTTCGGCACCAATGTAACAGGGTTCAGTTGTTATGGGAAGGAGGCGGCGGGAAGTTTAATAATAAAATAAACAAATACAAAAATTCACCCCTCTCTAACGACTGCTGGCACACAAAAACAAAACCCAACATATGTTCAGGCCTGTTCCTCTCTCGATCTGCACTGTCATCACTCCCCCTTTATGCTTTCGCTCCTCCGTGAGAGATGCGCGACCGCTCATTACCACTCATGCCATAGGACTCGCACTGTTTTCACGTCACTCGGCCTAGTCCTGCTCGCCACAATAATGAATAAAATGATAATATATGTTAATATATCTATATATGTTAATAAAAAAAAATTGTCTTTATAATATCATGCAAAAAATGTGATCATGACAGCGGCCCATGACATCAAAAAGTTTTTCAATTCATGTCCTATAGAGGGAGCAGATTTAGGGATGCTCAACGTTTTAGCCATCAAAAATTTCTAGGCAAAAATCTAAGAGATGTACAATGAGCTGCCTGAGAATTTGAAAATAAATTGCAACGATAAGATCTAATAACAACATCATTTACAACTATAAAAATGAAATGAAAAATCGACACATGAAACAATCCCAGGTTAATTAGATTTAACATACATGCTGAGTGATGGATGATATTAGTGCAAAAAGGGTAATGCATGCAGCTGTGGGAACACGTGCACTTCTCTGAGTCTTGTGGATAAATCCAGATACGTAAGCACAACCGCAAAAAAAAAAAAAAAAAAAAAAAAAAAACCCTAGAGAATCATAATGTGGACAAAATTCAACAACAATGGCTTAGCAGTTGTGCATTAAATAGTTTATTGCCACATTACTAGTGATTCATTTTTAATAAAGATAATATTTTGTTGCACTCAAGTGCCACAAATAGTCACAGGATACTTCAAACTAAAATAATCTAATTGAATAAATGGAAATATTTCTCAACAGTTTATTTCAAAGGGCTCATTTAAAATTGACAATTTTAGTCAACAATTTTCCTTTTGGTACATCACCATTCAGATAAATAGAGATTTGTGCTGCATCATCAAGGTCATGGGTTCTATTCCCAAGGAATACATGAACTGATCAAATGTTATCTTGAATGCAGTGTCAATTTGGAAAAAAAACAAAACAAAAAAAAATTGTTAAATGCATAAAAAGAAAATACGTAGTATCATCTAACGTTTCAGAATCTGAATAGATCCAATAAATAAATGTGCTTAGATATACCAAGATACCAAAATCTGCAATCGAAATTCAGATATTATAATATGAACACCAACATTTCCCTTCAAACCCTTCTGAGAACTCCATTAAGTCTTCTGAGATATGAAAGGGCAGCCTCAGTATGACACATTTTCCCTCAAACTCAAATACACTCACATGAATACACTGTGGCTTTGGTGGTGACTTTCTTACTACACTTATAAAGAAATTTTCATCCCCACACCTTCACAGAGGGGCCCGCTTCAAATACGGCCAGCTGCAGAGGCTGTCTGCCAAGTACACAGAGTGGCCGTTTGCAAAATATCAACATTGAGAGTTCATCTCTCCAAAAGATTGGAGGGGGGCATTAGCCAAGGCAAACTCTGCTTTTAGCAGAGGGGTATTTTGAGTCCCCTTAAACAGTGGGTCCATAAAAGTTGTTAGTAGGCACTTAACCATCTGTACACACAGCCGCAAAAGAATGCATTTGAATATTTTTCACGCACACTGCCTCATCTGCATATTGACCTCTAGAAACCAGTGTGTCCTCTACAGCCTATTCCAGCACACACAGCACATTTATAATATCATGTCCCTTTAAAGTACGAACCATCTGGGAACAAGCTGTCGCAAAAGTACTCAGATGAATGTACGTTCTCATGCTGTTCTTTCTTTTTTTGCAGATGTGGTAAAATCTAATTCAGAAGACTCAAACATAAGCAAATGACTAATGACCAAATAAGCATTTCCTTCATCGAGATCAAGAATTAAAAATATGTGACCCATATTTGGCTTTGGAAAGACAAAGACTGAAATGAGAAGCTGGCAGAGTTGCATATCTCAACAGCGTTTAGCAGAACACTTGTACAAACTGTCCTAACTAGCTGATGGTAAAGAGAGGAGAGGAGAGACACGGAAAGACAGGCTGCGCTAATGGGCATGTTTTTCTGCTAAGAGAACAAATCTACAGCAATCAGGAAAAGTATTTTACACGGACACTTGTTAGCACCGTTGTGCCGTCGCGCTGCGAGAGAGGAACTATTTAAAGGACGAGGAGGTAGTGTTTGTTCATACTTTAGCTTCGAGGCTGAAATACGTTTGGTAAACTGCACTTAATGAAGAGGCATGTATTAACCGGTGAAATGGTAATGAGTTGAATGTTAACCGTGCTGAAAATGCAAAATGTATCTCTAGGCAGCTTAGATATATTCCATTGGGGATATTTCAGGCATTCAATAAAAATGGATGCGTTAAAGGCCCTAAATGAAACAGTTTACGTGAGCGATTATCTGAATCATGATTCCTGCGATCATAGACCCTTAATGGTTCTCATTATTCACTTCTCACTGACGATCAACCATATGGTGGTGGAAGCCCAGAGAGACTACAGGAGTTTCTCTATCGGGACTGCACATCTCACCTGATTCTTCAGGTCTAGTTTGGGGCATGGCCGTCCACCGTTGAACGGCTTCTCCCGAAGCCATTTGGACCTGATTTTCAGCCCGCTGCCGCAGGAGGCACTGCAGGCCGACCACGGTGACCAGTCACTCAGCTTACAGTCCAGAGGGCAGGGCATGTGGCAGACCTCTTCCACCAGACCTGTGAAAGAGCATGTTGAGCAATCAGAGCAGCCGAGCCCCTACCATTCACCATCCAACAATGTTAGCGGAAACATCTGGTTGCTGATGCTGAGACCTTGTCTAATTTACACTGACAGTTCAGGGCACCCCACAGCTTCCTATTTGACTAATGAATGCTCGCCTTTTCAGCAGAGACAAATTACTAAGCTCTTTACTAAGAGAGAGAAAGAGAGGAAAAGAAACAAGTAGACAAACCTGATTCGCTGCAGAGTTCTGGGCTAACCAAGTGGGCTTCATGGTCCAGACAGGCCACGGCACGATAACGCAACCCCTGACCACAGTCACGTGCCTCTCGGCGACCCCTCCAACCCTGGAGGGATCCTTGCACCGGGGTCTCAGACAGGACACAAGATGACCAGTTACCATACGGCTGAGAAACAAACTCCTCGCACGGACAGGGCTCGGACTCTACCAGAGGGTACAAGTCTTCCTTCAGACACCGGTCCTGTTTCCGGCTCCGACCTGAAAATAGTGACAAATAGGAGAGCCAGAAAGAAAGAAGAAAAAAATAAAGAGGAAGCAATAAATAACAGACTAGTCATCAGAATTTTTGGTGCTATTCAGAGACTGCACTCTGGGAACTCATGTGTGTAATGTACTTATCTGTCTATGAAAATTATTAAAACATTAATGATGTCTGCCTGGATATCTGGACCATTACTCATTCTGCTGTCAAATGTGGACTGCTAAGTGCCACTGCAAACATCCCCAGGGAACGATTAGAGAACTATTCTGAGTAGACTGCAATGGAATCGCTCAGTGACAAGAGCAAGACAGAATAATTTCTTCAAGCAAACATGCCATTCTTTCAGCACACTTTATATGATGGATCAGGGGTGTCCAATACTGCTCTTGGAGAGCCACTATTGAGCAGAGTTCAGCTCCAACCTTAAATGACACCTGAAGAAATGAAACAAGGTCTTCAGGGTTAATAGAAACTTCCAGGCAGGTGTGTTGGAGCTGGGACGTTGCACTGTCTGCAGGATGTTGGCCCCTCCAAGATTGGTTACCCCTGTGATGGAGGATCAGTTCTGGAGTAACTGATGAATGGATTGTCAAGCTCAGAATTCCATTTGGCATGGATATGGTTCTCAATGACATTTTATCAGTGTTCAAATTGTGTCTTTATTTTAGGATTGCTTTTACTTGATTTGTTTCTCTATTGTTGTTTTTGGTTATCTGCATTTTGTTATATTTACAGTGTCTTATTGTTCTATTTGTCTTTGTGTAAATCTTTTATGTAAAGTGCTTTGAGAAAATAACTTTCAAAGGTGCTACATTAAGTAGATTTATGATTTTTATTATTATGACTTTGGAGGGTACCAACCCTGATCAGAATGTATTAAAAGATTCAAAAGTAGCACACTTCCAAACCCACAAGACTTTTGTTTGTGTTCAAAAAAATTAAGATATTTATAATGAAACTTGAGAGATTCCTGTCCCTCCATTCAAACACAACTTTGAAGCTTATCATTTTCAATTTATGTACTTATTCACATATAAACATTGATAAAGACACACACATAAAGACACATACATTATCAGGCCCCAATTTATATTTAGTGGCTTTAAGTACTATGTACTTGTATCTAAAAATAAGTATAATGTATTATTGCGTTCATGTTGTATAGTGAAACACATTGCTGCTATTGAGGGTTTACACTTTATTTTATGGTGTCCATGATACAGAGTAAATACTTAATGAATTACTTAGTAGTAGACATTGTAATAACATGTTACAAAATGTAATTAACATGTAACTAAGTTATTGAACAACCTGTGCTTACAGATTGTAATTACACTCATGTAATGGGCAGCTACTGTTACACATGTAACAGGCCGAGTCGGTTACATACACATTACCGACTTGATACAATTTAATTATATAAGAAAGTACTCTGTACTACTCAATATAACAAGTACTTAAATATGTATGAAAAAAGCCTGCAGTTACACATGGTCATTTGTACCTTATAAAATAGTGTATCAAGATTGTACTTAAGTGTACTTCATGTGTATAAGGTATTTAGATAAACATGAAGTACACTTAAGTACAGTCGTGATACACTTTATTTTACATAGCTTATCCCTGTGTAATATTATGTAATTGCAATGTAAATAGGAAGCTACCGCATGCATTTAAATTGTGAACGAGGGATTTAGGCTTAATTCAATCTAAAGTACATATGGATAAGGTTTGTAGATAAACATGAAGTACACTTAAAGGTGCAATTTTTACAAGAGCGCTCGTGCTCTTGTTCATGCTCGAACACAAGAGCGAGCACTCATGGTATGCGCCGGGCACACTTTCAACACACCTGAGAAAGCATCACACAACATGCTGGAAACTCATGTAAACTCCCACTGCAATGTTACAATGTTGCCTTGGCTTGTGTCTTGCTTAGTTGGGGACATTTAATATTCAACAATATTATTGATCTGTGTTGTATTATGACCATGTGTAACTGCAGGATTTTTACCTTAGTGTCATATTTAAGTAGTTGTTACATTGTACCAAGTCGGTAACATATGTTGTCTATTATATGAATGTAATTACTCTCTGTAAATACAGGCTGTTCCATAACTTAGTTACATGTTAAATTTTTTTTTGTTAAATGTTATCACAATGTCTACTACTAAGTATTTACACTGTATCACGGACAACATAAAATAAGGTGTTACCGTAGTGGAAGCCACTTAATATAAAGTGGGACCGTTTATCAAATACAGCAAATGGAAGCTTAGGTGTACTTGCTTGACTCAAAAGAACAAACATTGGTTCTTGTGAATACTCAAAACGTGTTTGCATGACAATTTTCAATGGGGAAACATAAATCTGCCAGGATTCATTGAAAATATCTTCATTTGGTTTCAAACATGAAGGAAATTCTAATGGGTTTTGAATAACATGAAGGTGCATAAATGAGGGAGACTAATTAGGGGAACAAATAAGGAGGGTAACGAGAAAGAAAAAAACAGGTGGGAAAAATTAACCAATAATCAGATAACTTGGAAGGAGGAGTCAAGACAGAGACAGGAACACAAAACACCACATGTGCTACATATGACAGGACAAACATGTGACAATTGGCTCTATGTGCGGCGGTATATCTGTTGAAGGTCTAAGTATGCTTGATTACTTCCGCCGATCGTAGAGTCCAATGCAATACTGCAAGGATTTATATTGGATTTTTTACTCTATGGCTATACAAAAGAAACGTTAGTCACAAAAACAGACACCCCTCATTGTGTTTGCTTCTTTTTTAAATTATATTATATAAACATAACTAAATATAAAATGACATCTAAACGTATTAAATTTTTGTTTTAAAGACGAGAGGACAGTACATTTTGAAGACTCTGCCATAATCCCATTTTCCTCGGTTTTCCTCCACTTTAAATCTCCACAACCGGAAACTGAAGAGCATCCTTGCGTCAAATGCGGAACTTATGTGTGCATATAGCCCATTACAAAACATAAGAACTGTTAGCTCATGAGGACCCTTTTCAGGACAAAAAAAAAGTGTGTTTCGAACTTTCACTGATGAAAAGTACAAACAAGTCAATTAAAAATTAAACATCTAAACAAGATAAACAACACTAGGAATCAATAATCCCACAATATGTTTAACAATTCATTGAAGAACATTTATTTATTTATGTTTGTTGTTGTTGTTGTTGGGGTAGGGAGGTGGGTTCCCTTATGTATTGGGGTGCCACAGCCAATATGAGAACTGCACCAACCAAAGGAAGCTCCCTTTCTCTCTCCCTGCATTCATTATTTTTATTTGTACAAACATAGACCCGAAGTACTCCCATGTTCAGTGGACCATATACATCTAATTTATCTAATGAGGAGAGAAATGGATAGATTTCACACCATAAAGGCTTCTGTTTAAGTGGCTATTAGTTCCTCTTTGCACACTTCACTTCCTGGAACATTTCAAATTAGTCATGTCCATTAGACATGATGAATATTATTAGGTTATATAAATAAAAGGATCTGTCCACGAGGAGAGATGCTCCTTTCAGACATTCTGCCTGTCACTGACACTACACACCTGCATTCAACAGTGTTCTCAAACCTGTCAAGAAAAATACTCAGCCTGTCAAACCTGTGGGCCGCACTGGACAATTATGCATAGTCAGGCTAAAGACCTGTGAAAAAATGATGCTTTGATGTACTGGATTCAGAGGCTTTTGGCGTCTTGTTGTTTGAAGGATTCTGCTTTGTTGCATCAATGCGGTCAGTGTGGTTTTGCTGACAGCTCAAGCTTTAAAGATAATGCTGATGAAAGATCATCATCAATCATGATGCAATAACTCAGTGGATTCAGTCAATCTCTGGTTGAGTCAAATGCCAAATGACACTGTCGCATAGAAGGTCAACTAAGGTACCTGTTGCAGATATGTATACATAAGAATACAGATTCAAGTATTTCAGATTTGCAAAATAATTCATAAATATCACATGCAGCGTTTACGATATTCTTTTTTACAACAGTTCATTAATATGAAGTTAATGGATTTATTAGTCATCAGGTGGACTTTTGAGCAGTTAAATTCATTGACGAATACTTCATATTTTAGATTTACTCCGAGAGTTTTCTGTCCCTCTATTGAAAATGTAAGTACGGTATACTGTCCTTGACGAGAAAGCAAATACAGACATCATCGAAGTAGTCCATGTGACATCAGTGGGTTAGTTAGAATGTTTTGAAGCATCAAAAATGCATTTTGGTCCAAAAATAACAAAAACTAAGACTTTATTAAACATTGTATTCTCTTCCAGTACCGTGTTCACGAGTCCGCAGTGATGCTGGTGACGTAAGACACTGCTGATGTGTTCTCTGATTACGCCACCAGTGTCCCTGCGGACAGAACCGGAAGACAATACAATGTTTAATAAAGTCATAGTTTTTGTTATTTTTGGACCAAAATGTATTTTTGATGCTTCAAAACATTCTAACTAAATCACTGATGTCACATGGACTACTTTGATGATGTCTGTATTTCCTTTCTGGACAAGGATAGTATACCGTACGTACATTTTTAATCGAGGATACAGAAAACAGAATACAGAATACAGAAAACTTTTGGACTGAATCTAAAATATTTTAAACTTTATTCTGATACAAAGTTTTATACCACTGTTTGTTATACCACTGTTCAGACACAGGAAAATATTACTGTTTTTATTTCAGTAATACAGTCGGAAAGAAAATCAGAGTCAGGGCACTTATCTGGTTTTGAATGTATATATATCTGTGTATATTCATCATAAAAATTATAATGGAGGCCATTAAGAGATAGCCAAGTGGTGACAGATAAATATAAAAACAAAAACCAGCCCAAGACTGACCCCTGAGCAACACCAGTGAAAACAGAGCTAATCTCAGACCTATGGCCACCCATAGAAATGAACTGGGAATTGTCAGTAAAATAGGATCTAAAACACTTAAAAACTGTCCCCAACACACCAAACACTCTTTCAATATGTGTGAGTAATAGACTGTGATCAGCAGTATCAAAAGCAGAGCTTTGATCTAGAAGGATGAGAATGGATGTTGCACCAGAGTCAGAAGCCGTCAACAAATCATTGGTGACAGCCAAAGCCATCTTAGTACTGTGACATTTACGAAAACCCGACTGAAGGGGTTCAAAAAGATAATTAGTCATGAGATGGTTACATAAATGAGAGGGGCAACAATATGCTCAAGTATTTTTCTCAGAAAAACCGAAGATTTGACATAATTATTAGATATAATTATTAGATATATAAAATACTTTTTTTTTGTTTGTTAATGAGGAAAAATCCTCCAGCTCCTGCACATTCTTTGCTTTTCCAGCATCTTCTGCATATTTGACTCCTTAATAGCAGTGAATATGATTGTGAGGTCCATATTTTTGCACTGGTGAAAAGTGAGGGACTCATACACAATTATTACAAACCCTGCATTTAGTGATGTTCAAGAAGGAAGCATCCGTTAAGGATAGAACTGGATGTAAATTGTTTTATTTATTTATTTATTTATTTATATAGGTCAATATAAATATTGGGAACAATATTCTCAGAAGCCGAAGCACTACTTGGGCAGAGTGATTAACTCAGCACCTGAGACGCACCATGGTGAGGAGAGGAGTTCGAGTTGGAGTATAAAATCAGCAATTACTAGATAGTAATGTTCAAACCTTAATATAATTCATATATTATTTATTATTATTATTCAGGAGTGTATAATGAGTTTTGAAATTGTAGAGAAATGCTTAATTTATGCATTGTCAACTGTGGATACACTCTTTAATGATGAGCATAATTACATTTACATTTTAGAAACAACATTGACAACAACAATACTTCCAAGTGAAACTAATCCAGAATCGTCTCAGAGCAACACAAAATTAATGAATACCTGCATAAATCAGTGTTTATAAATTAATTGGTTGAACAGGCACTTGTTTTGTTTTTCTGAATAAATTAGTGTGGTTTAAACAAATCTGTCGAGTGAATGATTAGTTGACTCTCTCATAAAGACTCCATCCATGTCTCACAGCAGGCCTCTATACAGTATACAGGGAGGGAGAAAGAGAAATGGACACAGTCATTGAGGTAGAAAGAAACTCACACTCTCACTGGTGTCCAGAAGCTTTCTGACGAGTGTTTGCCAGCCTCCATCTGTTTTGGGTGTTCAGAGGCGGTCAGTGATAGAAAACAGCTCTAATAGTGTGAAATCTCTGTCAGTACACTGCAGCCTCACTGACAATCTGCTTTCTCATTTTTGTGTGTGTGTGTGTGTGAATATGTATATGAAACACACACTTTCTACAGCAACAATTCATTATTGATGACACCCCCAGAAACCAACACCTGCTGGATATAGTGCATTAAATTCAGCAAAAAGCAAAATCATCCTTAGCTTGCAGTTTTCAGGCTTAATTTCTGTGTGTGTGTGTGTGTGTGTGATGCTTTTGGATTTCTAGGTTGAAATATGACATTTTAGCATGTGATCTTTGGTGTGGAATTTCCTAAAACTATGTGTGAAGAAAGCCTTTGAAGGTTTATCTGACACAGTGAACATGTCACACTGTGAGATGTGCATGATCTTAATGAGAGCCAAACATTACTTTCATGGGAACAAACTAACTAAAGCAAAAAGCACTGCAATAATTCCCTAACAACAATCTCTAAATCTGCCCGTAAAGCAGTTCACTCTGATCTCTGATGATAGACAAGTCTGTCAAAACACTTATGTATGTGCAGTAAAGCAAAAAAAAAAAAAGCAAAAAAAAAAAAAAAAAAAAAAAAAAGAATAAGAAGAGGACAGTTAATGAAATAATGAATATGAATTCTTCTCAAAGTTACAGATGGAGCCCTGAACACTTCAAGTTCACTTTAAATGGCTTCTTTCTCCAAGGCCATTTTCCCTGCTCTAGCTGATTATGCTCAGCTAAGGAATATACTAAAGCTGACTTGTCTGTCAGCTTACTTCCTTTGTTAAAGTGATATTCCTCAAGTGATACTATAATAATGACACTCTAGAAGCCATTGTACATCTTGGCACTAGTGCTCAAAGGATTTTACAAAAATCCCACTAATTTGTACCCACACCTGTCAAGACATAAACAAGCTTATCGACTCGCCACGGTATATGATTTATTCACTGTTGCAGTATTTGTTCTGTGTTGTGACTTTTTCCATTCCAAACACCAAACAAACGACCTACTAACAGTAAAAAATGAACACAATTAACCTTGTTCTTATATCTCTTGAGGAAAGTAACAACTGCCTGATAGAACATGGCAGAGCATATCAACACATCATTGGATTTTCACTCACCACTATTATAGGGCACTGAATCTGCCAATTTTAAAAGTTTTCAAATGTAATATACAAGAAAGAAGTTAATACATTTTTTAATGTAATAAATATAAATCTTATATAAACTGGGGGTTATTTTAGGAATATTAATAGGAAATAGGAATATGAATAGTAATTTGTTTTTGTTTTTTTATTAACATTTTACATTTCACCAATTATAAAATTATGTACCACAGATTTTTTCTAGAAATACTTTGCTGCAGAAATATCAACTCACTTATAATTATTTTTGTTTAACTCATTAAAGATTGTTTATCAGTTCCACACAAAGAGGTTTAGATACTCTGTCTACAAGAATCAAGAACAAACAGCACTGGTCAGTAACATTAGTACATTGATAACTGTATTGGCCGTTACTCAGAATTTGGAATATCGTATCGGTTATGAAAAATCGGTGCATAACAAATTTTCATCACGACTAACATTTTTACATATTTTATTTGACTCAATTTGCTTAAAGTCAAAGTTACAGTCTTTTGGATCAACCAGGAGTTAAGTATCTTTCTAAAGGATAGAATGGTTATTTGCACAAACCTGAAACCCTCATACCAGCCTCTTAGCATTTTCTCATTAGTGTAATTAATGCATAAGATTTGGGGTTTGCATAATATTTACTGGATATTCACAACTTTGTGAATCACCCTGAAACGTTGTCTGAATGTATCTCACCTGTTAGGGTGCGTTTGCTGGTACGTCGGCTCCCACATCCAGAGCATTCAGAGACTTTAGACCAAGAACTGAAGGTGCAGTCATCCCTGCAGGGCACCCAGCAGCTCCTGAAGCGTGACGGCATTGGTCCGGCCCAACGGAGACACTCTGACACAGCTGCCATCTCATCATACTCATCCACACAGCTCAATCCTGAGAGGACACACAATCAAACACTGCTTTAATACAACAGTCATTTATGCCACTTGTGATACAAATGTGATAAATATTGTACGACACGACAGTTCTTCAGGCATTAACGTGGTAGCGATTTCATGGAAATGTATTAGCATCCAGACTCCACATGGTAAAAGCCATTCACTTTGCCCCATAACTCTTTCTTTCTACAGCGCTGATTTGAGATCCTCTCACATGAAAATTGCCTTCCTCTGCATCACCAGCACTGAGGGATGATAAATGATATGCTTGGCAAATGTGAAGCTTTCTGTTACCTTTTCAGCACACTGCACCCATTCCACCCACAAGGTGAAGTATTCCTCACAGACAACAAAGATTGTGCCGAGGACTTTTCCCTCACAGACTTAAATTTGCCACTGTGCCTTACATGATGACATGTTTTTGACACAGTCCTCCGCTGCATGGCTCTGTACACTCAGCAGAGGCTTTTCAAGGGAGCACAGTTAACACACAGCTATAACAATGACATTTGAGGGGAACTTTTCAAACTGTATAGCAGAGCTTTTTAATGGTTCATATTGTTTTTCAGCCCATTCTCACCCCCCATAGCGTCACCTAACTGACGCCTTGGGAAGCATTTGACCATGCTTCAATATCTGACGCTTTAGGTGCCCTTTAGCGTCAGTTAGATGACGCCCTAGGATTGCGTGTACCCTACCCCCACCCCAGACCTAAACCTAACCGCGTCCTCTTACTGACGCTTTCCTTTAGCTTTTAATATTGAAAAAAGGTGGGTTTTACCATGGTAAATAAACACATTGCAACATATGCCCTTTCATTGTTAATTGCTTTTATAGACAGTAATACACTAATAGTTAATTAACTTAACTGAAGCCTTGCCAGAATTTCTGAAAGGAAGTCGAATGAGCACCAAGGGTGCATGTATTTGTCCATTTGTGTGGTACCATGGCATTAGCATGGTAAATGTCTCATGGCATTCTTTAAAGTATCATGGAGTACCATATTTTACTGTCTGATACAATGACTGTGCCATTGTACCGCTATCATCCTTTTTGTAAGGATAAAAAAAAATAAACAAAACAATGCAAATAATGCATATATACTTTTAATTTATTCTGTCATCTCAACTTCCCAACTACTTAAGAAAAAATATTTAAACCAAAAAAAAAAAAAAATTTCATTTAGTCTTTTTCAAAGATTGTCTTCACTGATACGTTATTGTGCACACAGATGAAATATGCTTCTTTAGCTACAGCTACACCAGAGTTTATTTGTTTTTACTATGTTTAGCAGGAGTTTGTTCCCTCCACATTGATAATACTTTATTGATTCAGATTTGTAGGACACAAATTCCAACCCTTGCAGATCTGTCAGAAAGGCTCTAAACCGAAGGGAGGGGACAACTGTGTTTTGAATATAGAACAAAGACCCTGTGTATGTTTAAGTGCCAAAATAACATCTGACTCTAGTCTGCATGGACACCACCTTCCCTAGGGCAATGTGATGCTGTTATCTCAGAAGTGACCCTCTAATGTCTTTGAACATGTACACATACGCCTTTAACACATTTTATTGATTCCTATTTGAATTTCAAATGTTGCTCTCTGACCAAAGCATTTGCTCTCTTCACTTTAGAGTATGATGTGGGTGGAGTATCTAGATGTGGGATAGTGTTTTACAATATTTGTAGCATGTTATGTACTGTACCATAAAGGACATTGTTTACAGAATTGAATAGTCATTCCGATCATTTTGTCCTTCAGACTCAAATGTGAAAGGTAAGTTTTGAAATGACATATATATATATATATATATATTTTACTCTTAAGAATTTCACATCCTCCCAGGGAAGACGTCAGTTTCTCCACTCTGTCTCTCCTGGCTTCCTTTTCTTTCTCACACTCATTGCTGGTTCCCGCAGTGCCCCAGAGACAGAAAGGTTGACAGTAGACATTCAGAATGGAGCACACAGGCTGCCCATTTTTAGCACAATTATTTACCCTCTCTCCTCCATCCCTATATCAGTCTCTCTCAATTTATCTCCTCTCCCTATTGTTAACATTTTATTCCTATCTCAGCTCATGACAGGGATCAACTTAATAATGCAGCCACTTACAAAGGTGACAATGTTTGCTGACTACTCAAAAGGACACATTGGAGAACTTTTTTGGCCCTTAAAAAAGACTTTGTCAGACTTGCCAGCTAAGCTTCCCAGTACTCATTAATGGCACACTTTCATGTGCTCCTAGAATTAAAGTTTCGATATGTGGGAATCTAAGCCCAATTAAATGATTACTAAAGCTATACACAATACCAACAAGCAATGTGGAAGAGACTACCACATCCACCCCATATAATAGGAACTTATTAACTGCATGAGACATGTAATCCATAATGTGAGACGAAGATTAGTAAGTGTGGTATAATAAATATATGTGAGTTCAAAAATTACAAAATAAGATTCCCAATTGGGAACAAGCGTTTTCATACCAAAAGTGAACAGACAAAGGGCCCTATCTTGCACCCGGCGAAAATGACTTTATACACAAACGCATGTCTCATTCCTATTTTGCACGCACGCAAAGTGGGATTTTCCCCTCTACAGACGCACGGCGGTGAACTAGGGAATGAACTTGCGCTCCCTGGGCGGATCGGCGCAAAAACCTGAAAAAACCTTATTACCCATTTTTTAAGGCTAATTGTAGTACTGAAGGATCAGACCTGTTTGCCCAATAGTGGCAAGAAACATCCGTATATAATGTTTAACCGACGCTGATGTGCGAGAGTTTCTCCCATCCCCATACAACGTCACCTTTTCACGTTACGCCCAAACCACACCTATGAATAATGAAGCTACTTCAGACCAACCCCTTTTAGATTTGCGCCAGGCGCAAGAGGCATTTATCCCGAAAATAGCAATAGCGCCGGGACGCGCCCGCAAAGTTACTTGCGCCATACGCTTTGACACTTGCGTTTCAGTTTGTTAAAATAGGGCCCAAAGCGTTGAATACCAGCAGCAAAAGTTCACCTTAAAATAACTTACAAAGAATGTGACAAATTTTTGTCAGCAAAATGTACCACAGAAAAACCAAAAATACTCCTGTCATTCACATCCTCTAATGCAAAATACTACCAATCTGATATGGATTTATGCCATGTGCAGACAGTTTCATGGACTATGACAGAAGCACTCATTGTACTGTTGGTTTCCAGTAAGGTTGTGCAAGGATAGCAAGTAATCAACTATACAGGGACTCTGTGACCTCCAAAGAGTTAAGTGCTGTCAGTGTGAATGTTTCTTAACAATCTGTCAACACTGGAATTCAGTTATTCATTTTCAATGAGAGGTAGTGATTTGAGGTGATATGAATGACAGCGACCATAAACAGTGGTACAAAGATGAGTAGAGGTTCATTTTATACAAACAAGCAGTGTAGCGTCAGTTATGGCAGGTCAAGTTAGTCAAGCTCGCATCAGCTGACTCTCAGCTGATCCACATCTTATAGGAATATGACGCCTATCACCGTACATATATAAGCTCCTTCAGTATTTTCAACAGCTATCGTGTTTCTCAGGGGCTAATTAGCCTCCATCCCCAGCTCCCCCTCTCGTCCAGTCAAGATTTGGCATTCTGATTACCCTTGAATCAGAATAAATTCTCGAATTATGTTGTACATTCAAATATTGACATTCTGTTCTGTTTACCCTAAGGGGGTTATTGCTGCTCTCCCTGTTCTTATCCATGCTAGGCTGCATGGATGTGCAGGGAATTCTTGCCCAGAACAGAACCATACCACCCATCCAAACTGTATGCTAATTTCAATCGCATTTGACGATAGTGATCCTGACAGAAATAATGCAACCACCAGCATGAGAAAAACATCCAGTATGCAGCAGTCCTGTGTGCAAAAATGCCTCGTTGATGCTAGAGTTCAGAGGAGAATGGGCCGACTGATTCAAGCTGATAGAAGAGCAACTTTGACTGAAATAACCACTCGTTTACACCCGAGGTATGCAGCAAAGCATTTGTGAAGCCACAGCATGCACAACAGTGAGGCGGATGGGCTACAAAAGCAGAAGACCCCACCGGGTACCACTCATCTACACTAGAAATAAGAAAAAGAGGCTACAATTTGCAAGAGCTCACCAAAATTGGACAGTTGAAGACTGGAAAAATGTTGCCTTGTCTGATGAGTCTCGATTTCTGTTGAGACATTCAGATAGCAGAGTCAGAATTTGGTGTAAACAGAAGGAGAACATGGATCCATCATGCCTTGTTACCATTATGCAGGCTGGTGGTGGTGGTGTAATGGCGTGGGGGATGTTTTCTTGGCACACTTTAGGCATCTTAGTGCCAATTGGATATCGTTTAAATGCCACGGCCTACCTGAGCATTGTTTCTGACCATGTCCATCCCTTTATGGCCACCATGTACCCATCCTCACAATGCACCATGTCACAAAGCTCGAATCATTTCAAATTGGTTTCTTGAGCATAACAATTAATTCACTGTACTAAAATGGCCCCCACATTCACCAGATCTCAACCCAAGAGCATCTTTGGGATGTGGTGGAACGGGAGCTTCATGCCCTGGATGTGCATCCCACAAATCTCCATCAACTTCAAAATGCTATCCTATCCATATGGGCCAACATTTCTAAAGAATGCTTTCAGCACCTTGTTGACTCAATGTCACGCACAATTAAGGCAGTTCTGCAGAAGAAAGGGGGTCAAACACATTATTAGTATGGTGTTCCTAATAATCCTTTAGGTGAGTGTATGTAATAGTAAAACATAACTATGCAAATGTATATTTATAGTACAATTAGTTACTATTCATAATTTTGGGGTCAGTAAGATTGCAGTAAAAAACAGTAAAATTTTGAAACGTTATAATTTAAAAGAACCATTTTAATATATTTTAAAATGTTGTTTATTCCTGTGTGGCAAAACAGAATTTTCAGCATCAAGAGTTTCACTCTCTGTCAAGCGATATGTACTAGTATTTCAATTCACCTCAATGGATGTGCGGCGTACCTATATTTGATATACCGTAAACTCTAGTGTGAAGGCCCAACTTGCCGTCACGTTTCTCACACACACAAAGAGAGAGAGAGTGAGAGACAGTCTTATATACCACGAAAGGAAGTAGTTCTGCACAAAAGAGGGTTTTTAAAGTAATTTAGTTGTTGTTTCTTATTTATTTACTTGCGTTTGCCATCGAACTGTTGTATAAACGTAATATAACACCAGTAGCTGTGCAATATGCCTGTATATCCAACACAGTCTCATGAAGATGCGTTTCTATACCACGAGTGTCATTTCTCGTGGCATTTATACGCCAAAAGTGTTTTTTTCGTTTATATGGTACGGACTAAAAAACCCTGGGTTAGGTTTAGGGGGGAGGGGGGTGGGGAGTTCGTGCGTATTATACGCAAAAAAGTGCGTATCATATGTACGCGAAAATCGCGTGCCAAATACACGCAAAAACTGTTTTTGGCGTATAAATGCCACGAGAAATGACATTCGTGCCATAGACACGAACTTTCATGAGATCGGGCTGGTATATCAGCACTCTGTGATTACCTCGGTCTATGGCCACTCGTGTGATATTGCTAATTTAGAAATAGAATAGAATATCAAAATAGAATATCAGTCTGGCGAGGAACCAAACAAATGTATTAGCCAGGGTGTGCGTAGAGATTTGCAGTGTGTAAATATATATATATATATATATACATATGGTAGCCTATAGATGCAGTCAGTACAACGACACTCAATGTACAATGCCCAAATGCACAAATAAGTACAAATAAATAACTCAAGATGAGAAAGACCACTAATGAGATCAGACCAAACTACCAATGAGAGTGCAGACAGTGGCACTCACATGATCGCATAGACGCATATAGACGCACTCACTCATATCTTCTCACATCTTTAAGTCTTATACTGAAAATGAATGACTTCTGGTCGCTCTTTCGCAGCAAATCTGTCTGAGGAAGCAGAATATGTTTGAGGTTCACATTAGTTTGCAGAGGTGTCTGTCTTTCTGGTTCATTTAGTGTAATTTACTGCATTGCCTTCTAGCCCTGTTATTTATTGTGGAGGATGCTGATAGAGCAAGTGTTCTCAAACACAGCAGGAACTCTGCGACTGGCTCATTTGCATCTGTGCGGCAGAGAGCATCAGTGCGCCTGTCTCAAGCCACCACTCCACCTGAGTAGGCTGAGAATAATCAAATTACATCAGCGGAGGATGCTTGCCTAAAATACAACAATAAATCATCCGTGTACATAAACAACCTGCATAATTTTTAATCACTAGACTAAGGTAAAATAACAAGAGATTATTGCTGTTGTGGTGGCAGTACTCACTGTTAGTTCTTGTGGAATAAAAAGCAGGAACGAATTGGAAAACATTCGTAAATTAGCCAAGATTTATTGTTTACTTTAATTCATGCCCTCATGCAGTGAGATCCAAGGGGAGGTCAACACTGTCAAGTGCTGGTTTAAATAAACCATGAAATTGAATCTGCACACAGGCAAGTGCTCTCTGCAGTCCATCTTCATGTAATCCGTATCCTAACCTTGCGGCGGGGGCACGCATACTATAGCGGCTACATACTAGTGCCTATTTGAATCTTCCATTGCAGGATAACATTTACACAGACTTGTGATTTTTAATGAATGGCCTCATTAATTTTAATGAATGCACTCAATATCTGGAATAATACTGACCTTTGACTCGGCACAAAAATGTCATCTTTCTTCCATTGTACCAATATGATATTCTGATCAACTGGGGAAGGTCAGTAAAATGTCACACTACATTGTGTCTAAAAGTAATAACTTCTGGATACAATCATTTATTTTAATTTGATCTCAACAAATTCAAGGTTTCCATGGAACATATGTTTGAAAGATATTTGAAAAATCCATTTATTAGTCAAATTATTTTGATAGGCTTCCCATTATAGCCTTTTGTGATAACACTTTATAATAACTAGAAATACATCATTATCAAATATTGCTTAAAATGTAAATTAAAATAGTAAAACATATTTTCCAAAACTAAAATCAAAAAGTCATTACTTTAGTGAAAGGACATGGACCTAATGATGTGTAGCATTATATAGAACGTACTTATTTTCATCATTGACTAATGAATAAATGCTTTGATATATATATATATATATATATATATATATATAGGATTACAGTAGAGTATTACTTGAATAGCTTTCAATATTTCTGAAAAAAATAAAAAATAAATAAATCACACATTCGTCCTATAATACTTCCTCAGAAACTGTATACTCAGACTATGAATATCTGGAATAATTTGGACATTTGCAAAAAAAAAAAAATAATAATAATATCAATATGAATATGTCAGAATATGTTTATATTTCTACACAGAATATGTTTATATTACCAACATCACAAGCACAAAACAGCTCTGTAAATTAAAAAAGTTTGTGTATGTGTTTTTCTTTTTTTATGCATCTGTGCCCCAAAGGCAGACTGTTCCTCTTACATTGTATGTGATGTTTGACAGCTTTTACTTCCATTCTGTCATAATCACACCGGGAGTTGCGGCATGCAGCATTAACACTTCACACACTGTACAGTGCAAATGAGCAAAGCAGAGCTCAAAGCAATGAACACATTCATATATGTGCACAGCATTCAATATAGCTCAAAGGCAGAGCAACAACAGGTGGATATAGTAGCATACCAAGAGAATTGACTCTTTTACATGAAACGCACTTCTTACCTCTCATCTCTAATCCTTTACCACACGATTCACTCGCTCCCTTCATTCCCTGCTGGACAGAATCTGGGACCAGAGTACATGGATGCCATCTGTGAGTCTTCCATCTGAAAAGGAGATGAAGATTTGTAGTGATGGTTTGATGTTGGGAAAAAGTCCCATGAGTTATTACCATGACATTCATTTTAAGTCTAAGACAGGCTATGCATATACTATAAATATACTAGGTATTATTCCGGAAACAACAGATAGCATACATATCAGAAATAACCTGGAAATAACACACATTTTTTGTAATAACACAAGTAAGTACTCATTTAAGCAGACCTTCCAGTGTAAACAATGCATATCAATATAAGCCTTACACTTACAAAACTTAAATCAGTATTAATCAGTATGATACACCAGCACAGTCTTTTATGATACATGCAATTAAATGCCTTTGTATTCAGGGGGCTTTTACAGAACAATACATTTTTTCGTCTAGCCTTGCAAATGAGAAAAAAAATGGAGACCGTTAAATAAATCCTATAAACCAATTGTCATGTGATGTATTAAATGAATGACTCAGCATACTAAACAGTTTCTTGTCAATAATTTTAATTACAAGGGATTTCAATGGCAGATGCTGACATCTACAGATCAGGGGTGCGTTTCCCGAAAGCATTGTTAGCCAACTATGGTCGCAAGTTCCGTCGTTATCCGCATAGTTTAACGAGTCTGTGTTTCCCGAAACCATCTTTCCAACGGACATTCGCAAACAGCATCGCAAAGTTGGGTGGTTTGAACGACAGCTCTCGACCTCATGACATTTGGAGGTAATAAATCCTTATCTTGAGCAAAATAGCTGACATTCAGTACAACCGGTGCCTTTTATTTAGAATACATACAAATGTAATTTACGTCTTTTAGTTTTTCAAAAGATTTGAAGTAACGTGTTTGAAGAGTGCGCATGTGCGAACGTGCTGTACTATGTAAGAACGAGCCAAATATTTAGTCTGGTAATAAAGCAGAACAACTGAGAACAATTAAAAATAGTCCTCAGATGACATGTCTGTAATTTATATAAAACAAATCTAGCTTTAATTGGATCTCAAACAGTTTCATTAAAAGTACTTATTACTCCACTACGTGCGAAACCACCGTGGTTGAACAATACTTTGCGACAGTGGGTTTCGGGAAACAGTCGTCGCTAGTTGATTTTTCCAACGATGCATCGTACTATGGTAGTGAAAAAGTGAACTACGTCCTACGGGAAACGCACCCCTGAGTGGTCATTGGTTAATATGAAGTAATACATTCACAAGTACAAATATTGGATGCAAGTTCTCAACTATCAACTTTACTGAAACATTATAAGATATACTAGTGTTGTAGTCCCAAGACCATTTTTGAAAGACATAGTCTTGTCTTATTTTCAGACTTCGGGGACTCTAAGGGGAATTTATTTTTTTTGTTTATTTTTTAAACCGGTCAAGACCATATCTGTGAGGATATCAAATAATTGCCAGTGCATTATCTGATTTATTTGTTAACACCATTAATGTGATTGGATGTGAAACTTGCTGCTTCAAATGCAATCAATTAAATCAATCAATCAACTTATTTCTGTTTTTTTTTATTTTATTTAAAAAAGAAAAGTTAAATATTTTTATTGTTACTTTTGTGCTGGGTCAGAAATAAACAATTTTCAAATATGTCACCAAAATTAATACAATTGGGCACAAAATTTGATTTATTAAAAAAAAAAAAAAAAACTACTTGTATGAGAGCTTATAACATAAGACATAATTCACCAGTATACCAATTGATTTTATTTTTAAAACATTAATATCAACATTATTTATGTAGATTGTACCAATTCAGATGCAACTGTGCCAACTCAACAGTGGAAAGATGCATTTTGTTGTTACTGATTTAATTTGACTGGTAGTGTTTTATTATTATTCAAATTATTTATTGATTAAATATCTAATATTTATCTAATATTTATCTAAATATCTAATATTTCTCAGGCAGTATATGTTGATTTTTTAGGCTAATTTTAGAAGTCTCTTGACTGCAAAAAAGTTTTGCTTTTGTCTTGGTTTTGACTTGGTCTCTGTTTAGATGGTCTTGACTACAACACTACGCCTTTCATAAGATGATTTAATTTAAAGATGATTAAAATAATTCCACTGTCACAGGCGTTCAGTTGTTTTGCATCAAAATATCTCCATACTTTTCAGGCATTCAGAAGCATTTTATAATTTTTATTTGCATGGTATAAAAGCATGAAACGGTCATACAGATTATCCCTTCTGAAATGTTTGTGTAAAACATGTTTACGGGTGAGTTTATAGTAACAAAATGCTGTCTGATATAGCTATTATTGCATCAACAAATTAACCTACTTCTATTTGTGAATAAACCTTGCAGAATAACAATTTTAGAAGTTATAACAACTGCTCAATCGCATTCACATTTATTCATGAGCTGGAGAAACTTGCAAATAGCTTGGCATTTACTTGCGCAGTAAATTACAGCTACAATGTGTGACTTGTGTATTTTGTAGAAAGTATTGTGTTTACAAAACAGTGTTTAATATATTTATGTATTTCATGCGAATGTGATTCTGAACAGCTGTGTGGATTAAAAAAAAAAAAAAAAAGCTTTTTGACTCCACAAAAGTGAACTAAAACAGGCTAGCTGATCAATTGGTAAACCACTGGTGTGACTGCAGTTTATTCACCTGTAAGTAGGACAAACCAGAAGAGCCTCACATTCTCTCTCCTCATATAAAGTATCTGGACACTCTTGACCCCCATTGGCCGCCCGCTGGATGATGATCCTGTATCGTGACTGTGAGGGCATGGTGCTGTTCACTGCACAGTTCACACAGAAAGAAAACATTACTTTCACTCATCTTTCACTTTATTAGTATTCTGACAGCGATTACCGCAGCAGGAACAATTCAAATAGCTCTTTAGATAAGAGGTAATGATATGATTCTCTGGTGGAGTTCACTGTATGGATCCTAAGCTGATGTAATGACTTCATTTAACAGACGATGTAAGGCTCATTACGCATTGCTAATTACTAAAAGACAGATAATAGCACAATTAAGAGGGTGATCTCATTAACAGAAGACCCAACAGGGTAAAGCACACTATTTACACAAGGGATATCAGTTATTTAAAACATTTCTTCAAATGTTACCATTTGATTCAATCATCATAAAAGCATGTTTACTGGTTTCTTTAGTGGAAGTAATTGTAATTGAATAGTCTCATTTAAATGTAATAAAACTTTTCTGCGTGTAAGAAAAGCCCCTCTGAGAATGACATGGTATGTGGTCCGGCTTTCACTGCTTTTACAGCAGTGTATGACATCGAGTCCCAGTAGGTTGGTGTGAAATCTTGTTTTCATTATCAACATACTGTCCTCATGGAGGTAATGAATTTTAGATTCTAATAACCAACTCTGTAAACATAATAACTTTTCTCGTAGAAAAAGAAAGAAATAATTAGATAAGAGAGATTGGGGAAATGGTGAGATCTGATTGAGATGTTAAATAACATTTATAATCATCAATTAAATATGACATGAACGGTCCCATAAATGTTGTTTCTTATGCTCAAATAACATTACAAATTATTTATTTCAGGTTAGTCCAGCCAATGCACATGTTGTGATCCCAATTGAGCCTCTCAGGACACTTCTATGGCTGCAGTAACAAGATGACTTGATCAACTGGCGTCTGTAATCGGTCTTATTCGACCCGCTCCGAGAGGGATTCGAACCGGCCATGACTCCACCATGGAGAACTCCACCATGGTAAGTGAGGTAGCTAACAAGGACGCTAGACGCTCATGTGACACTGAAGACTGGAGTAATGATACTGAAAATTCAGCTTTGCTACGGGATAAAAAAAAATCTTATAGTGATCATGTACACTGTAAGATTTATTTTTTACAATTTAATTTAACTGTTTTTTTTATTTATTATTTGAATATATTATATTCAAACAACAACAAAAAAAGTTATATTAAATTGTAAAAATAAATCTGACAGTGTACATGAAAACAGTCTTTATGTGTTCCACGGGAAAAAAAAAAAAAAACAGTTTTGGAAATACATATTTTATGTTCAGGTGAACTATCCCTGTATGTGAGGTCCCACTGAAATGTCACAGCTAAAGGTTGTGGGAGGAGATTGTATTAATACCTGGCAGGCATGTGGTAGGGCAGGCTGTCCATTCACTGAAAGGGGTCACAATGCAATCTTTCCTACAGGGCAGTGAACAGGGTTGAATGGTGTCCGGTCGGGCAGATTCTGGACACCTATGACACAAACATATGGAGAACAGAAAAAAAAGGAACATTTTATTTGTCTTAATTCACACTGCAGTTGATCTGTCCTTGACCTTGCTGGTCCTGTGTGCAGGTTGATTTACTGTACCCCACAAACCAAGACATTATCATGTACAAGTTCCAATGACACTATCTGTGTAACAGAAGATCACAACCAGACTGTAGGGGAAGTTGATGTAATATTTATTGCATCTTACCAGCAGAGGCTGCAACTGATTGTATCTGAGTGAGTATACGGTAAAGGTGAGTTATTCCGGTATAAGTGATGGCAAGCGAGACGCTACCTGAGCCTGTATGTTTCTTAAGAGAGAGATAAAGAGATATCCCCCACACAGCTCGCTATACTGTACCGTGTAATCTAATGGAAAGAGAGTTCATTATTCTGTGCTCTAAAATACTTCACAGAAGTCAAATCACAGAGCTCCATGGTCACTAAATTGTGTGATATTGATACATAATAATTGTATATTTGGGAAACAATTTCCAACATAAAAAAATAAATAAATAAGTACGCACTATGATTTTTCCCCAACACCAACATGTATGGATGTACACTACCATTCAAAACTGTGGGGTTTTTGTTTTGTTGTCTCTTAAGGCTACATTTATTTGATAAAAATTACAGTAAAACAGTAATGATATAAAATATTATCCACATTTTTTTTTTTTTATGGAAAGCCATTACTCAGGGTCACATGATCCTTTAGAAATCATTATAATATGCTGATATTGTGCTTAAGTAACACTTATCAGTAATATGAGTGTTGAAAAAAGTTGTGCAATCATGATACACTTTTCAGAATTTTTAAATGAATACAAAGTTCAAAATATCATATATATCTTCAGTAACATTATAAATGTATTTACTATCATTTTAGACCATTTTAATGCATCCTTGCTATTTTTAAAATCTTACTGAAACCAAATGTTTGAACAGTAGTGTATTAACTTAGTTAGTATGCTTTAGTATTGATGTGTAACATAATTTAACAAATAAAAATAAAATTTAGAATTTTTTATTCAACAAAAAAAATATTAAATAACTTCAACTGACTTCGGTGGAATAAGTAAGTATATACCGCCATTTACTTTCCATCTGGTGTACTACTTTTTTCCCATAACAATGTACCCATTGCATGGCTCTCTTAGCACTCTCTGGTATCGGTTACTTATAAAACATTGAAAGAAATTCAACTTAAATCAATATGATCTATTTGGTAAAATGCCGTGTGATAGGACGGAAAATTACATTCACCCTGGTGAAAGGGATAATGTACAGTCAGATGATCGTTTTCACAAAATAAATCCCCTCAGGTCGAAAAAAGACCCATTACAGTATGTTGACTGCACATGATCCCTTACTTATATACTAGGGTGTACGTCCTGCTGGACATGCGTGTCCTTGTGAGTGCAAGTATGTGCATGCTTTTGTTTAAGAGCATGTTGCTCCATGGAGAATGTCCATCCCTGTAAGCTGCATTCTGGATTTCATTTCCGAGCATGCAGCAGCTCTAAAGAGAGGCGGTGGGACTCAGCAGGCCTCTACCAAATAAAGGCTTTGGAGACCAGCAAACAGGACACATCAAAGTAGGGGACAAGAAAGAACGGAGCCATGAATCATCTGTTTCTCTCTCACTTTTGTGCTTTGTGAAGCAGAATGTCATTACAGAGGGCAATCACCCAAAGGCATTGATGATACAGAGCTTTAGGAGAGGAACAAAAGAGTGGGTAGCGGATAAGTACAAGAAATCAGTAGAAAGAGGAGACAACAGGTTGACAAAAAACACATTTTCTGTTTATGTTTTGCTCAACTCAAAGGGTTAGTTCACCTAAAAATGAAAATTTTGTCATCATTTACTCATGTAGTTCCAAACCCATGAGTCTTTCGTTCATCTTCGAAAACACAAATTAAGAACTTTTGAATGAAATCTGAGAACTTTCTGTTCCTCCATTGACAGCTACAAAATTGACACTTTGAAGATTCAAAAAGTTCGTAAAGAAATCGAAAAAATATTACATATGAATTGAGAGGTTTAGTCTGAAGAAAAACAACTGATTTATATGATGAACATTTATCCACATATAAACATTCATCAATGCACACATGAGCAGTGTTGTGCAAGTTACTTCCAAACTGTAATACATTAGGTATTACTTCTTACTGTTATTTAAAAGTAATTCATTACCTTACAATATTACTGTCTCAGAATTGTAATGCGTTACATTACTCATGTATTACTTTTGAGTTACTTTCACCAAAATAACGAAGTAGAACTTAACTTTGGGGCTGTAACGATATGCAATATGAAACCGAAATCGCCATTCGCCACACGACTACAGAATCGCGACACACCTCTTCCAACTCCAGCGTTATTCTCCTTACCGTCCAGATCCAATGCTGCCTTATCTTTAAATTAGGCTATTAGTATTATTTGAAGTTAACATTATAAAATACGTAGACCTACACCACAAAACTAGTTGAGGATAAATTATTTAAAATTGGGGAAGTCCAGCATTATGGACATGACATTTGCAGTCAAAACTTGAAATAAAAATTCTCAGAAAATACATGTATTGAAACGTATATAGGCTACTTCCTTAAAGGACTCCAGACATTAGACAAATATCAGTCTATGTTTTATTTTTAATATTAGGAAAAAGACCCACATTCATGCGTGACAAAAAAAAATAGGAGGCAAAATATTTTTTTTGTAATTCTGTTAATTACACTGCGCAAATCGGATGAGGAAGGGTTGGCTCTCCAGTCTCCATAGAACTTAAAATATTCATTTTATTTTAGTTTTCGTGTTCGCATTTATGAGGAAAAAACTATGTTACAGACGCGACCGCTCTGAACTGGCACTAAAAGACTGCTTTAAAACTTTCACACAGTCTGTTGCCTTTAAGAAGTAAAAGCAGAAAATACACTGTAATACAACTGTAATACAAGCCTCACTGAACATGTAACGAGTAAAATATTACTGAAAATTGATTAGTAATGCCTTACACTACTGCGTTACAGCAAAAAATAATATGTTACTGTAATGTATTACTTTTGTAATGCGTTACTCCCAACACTGCACATGAGATATGGTAAACAGAAGCTCAAGCATGTTTTCTTGATGTGCAAAAACCAATGAGGTTCATTCTCATGTGTTGCGCAGCACCGTTGAGCTTCAGCAAGAACCAATGAGGTTTGTTCTTGCTCTTCACATATGCTATGTCTATGTCTATGCTTATACTGTGGAGGGGCTGGTCACTTTCGTCAAAACTGCCAACATCGGTCTGCCAACAGAGAGAATGCTGCGGTGAGTCTACTTGACCGAAAGAATCTAAAATCATGTGTAGAAGATCCCACTGAATTGACTGTCAATGGAAAATCTGTGTCCACATCGGCTCTGTTGGATTATGGTGCTGCTGGGAACTTCATGTTGCAAGAGTTTGCTAAACTTCATAGGATTACTTTAATCCCATGCATTTCTCCCCTTCTGTCGAGGCTGTGATGGTAGACCACTATGGGCACCGGTCACTCACCTGTCTCAGGAGTTGCGCATGTACACTGGACTGCTATACCGCAAATTGATTCAGTCAAGCTCCCCCCTCTCCTGTGATTCTGGGGTTGCCCTGGCTCCTAAGCATGACCCATTTCTGCAATAGACCTCCAGGCAGCTCAATAGCTGGGGAAAAATCTGCTTTAACAAACGGCCTGTCCTCGGTCCAACCTCTTCCTATGAGGAGCATCCATGAGTTACCTGATGATCCCGTGTTGAATCGCCTGCCCGCTGTATACCACAACCTAGCGGAGGCCTTAAGCAAGTTTAATGCTACTAAGCTTCTGCCTCATTGCCCCTTATGACTGTGCCATTGACTTCTTGCCTGATGCCACACCACCTAAGGCGCATACTGTATGTTCCCTCTGTCCCAGCCAGAGGCTGAAACCATAAAGAAATATATTGAGGAGGAGCTCACCAAGGGCTTCATTCGACCATCCACTTCTCCCGCATCAGCCGTTTTTTTTTTGTTTTTTTTTTCTCGTTCAGAAGAAGGATGGCGGACTCTGATGTATTGATTACAGAGCGCTCAATGATTGTACCGTCTATTTTTGCTATCCACTGCCCCAGGTTCCAGCTGCCCTGGAGCTGCTCCACAAAACAAGATACTGTACCAAGCTGGATCTGCGAAGTGCATACAACTTGGTCCGTATCCACGAAGGGGATGAGTGGAAGACAGCCTTTTCTACATGTATAGGCCACTTTGAATACTTAGTTATGCCGTTCGGGATTTCCAAAAGTCCAGCTGTATTCCAATCCTTCATTAATGACGTGTTCCGAGACATGCTCCAACACCATGCCATATTTTATATTGACGGCATTCTGGTATATTCAGACTCACTCTCAGAAAAAAAGGTACAAAAGCTGTCACTGGGACATTACCCTTTAAAAGGTATAATTTATCTACTGATATGTACACTTTTGGTATCAACATTTACCTTTGAGGGACTAATATGCACTCTTTAGGTACAAAGGTGTACCACACACACAAAGGTACCACCACAGTGATAGCTTTTGTACCTTTTTTTCCTGAGAGTGTAGAAGCACATGTCCGACACATCCGTGCTGTGCTTCAGAGGCTCGTCCAGTTTCAACTCTACGAGAAAATTGAGAAGTGTAATTCGACCAAACCTCTACCTCATTCTTGCGCTACATCATCAGTCCGGAAGGTGTGGCTATGGAGAAGGGCAAAGTAAAGGCAGTGGTGCAATGGCCCCAACCCATTCGCAGGGGTACTTCTTGTCTATACTCTTGGAGTGAAGAGGCCGCTCGGGCTTTTACCTCAGCTCCCATCCTACAACATCCTGATCCAGAGTCACCTTTTGTAGTTGAAGTGGATGCCTCAAGTACCGGCCTGGGTGCGGTGCTGTCTCAGTGTCAAGGATCACCTCCCAAATTACACCCCTGTGCCTATTATTCCAGAAAGCTCAGTCCATTGGAGAGAAATTACGATGTGAGTGATCGTGAGTTGCTGGCCATGAAGGCAGCCTTTGAAGAGTGGAGGCACTTGCTGGAGGGCTCCACATATCCAAGAATTTGGAGTACTTGTGCATGGCTAAAGGGCTGAATCTCTGTTTCGGCGTCCAGTCTCCCTGAGTCCACCATCTCTCAACCACGGGCGCCCTCTCCTGAGTTCTAGCATGTTGCATACTCTCCTATATAAGTATGAATCATTTGCGCTGTGACTCCCATCACCTGTTCTGTATTATTAATCATTCCTCAGCCTTTATCTGCCTCGTTAACTGAGCGTTCTGTGCAAAGTATTGCCTCTATACGTGTGCATGTCCGAGCCGTTTCTGTGTATCAAGATTTACCGTATTTCTGATCCTCGCTAAACTAACCTTATCTGATTGTCTGCAGCCTGCCTCGGAATCCACAGCCTGACCTGGAAACTGATTCTATCCGCCTTCCCAGAACTTTACGCCTGTTCCCGGTAACCGAACTCACGCTGTCTGCCTATACTTCTTTAAGCCTGGTTTCTGCCCACAGTCAGCAGATCCTTATTCAAGAATTCCTGAGTTTCTCACTGACTGTCTTTGAGTTATTAAAAGTTGTTGCATATTGATCTGCCTAAGCCTTCTGATTTGTTACACAGGACCTCAGTTTAACGTCTCATCCGAAGGACAAACTTTTTATGTTCATCATATAAAGTGATCGTGTCCCATCAGAAAAATTTACTAAACCGCTCAAATAATATAAGTTAGTTTTACAATATCTTTATTAATTTTGTGTTAAAGTGGAACAGAAACTGCCAATGGAGGATGGAAATCTCTTTTTTTTGCCATATCTCAAACTCAAAAACATATTTTTGTGTTGCGAAGATGGGCAAAAGTGTAAAAGGTTTGGAACGACATGAGGGTGAGTAAATAATGACTTAATTTAATTGGATGGGCATGCTTAAAGCTGTCACAAACAAACAAACAAACATTAATTCACAGGACAAAAGCAATATGAAACAACACACTTGTTGAATTCATAATTAAAATAGATTTCCCTGAAAAGATTAAACACTTTGTCTGAATAGTGTTTTATAACATTACTCTGTGTCATACACAGAAATGAACCAATTATTTATTTATTTTGGTGAGGCTAATGGTGCAGAAATTACACTGCAATTTACTAAAAAACTAAACGCAAATTTGGTATTTTGAATAAATGTTTATTACAATTATTATTAATAATAAATACAACTATTTTCTCAACACGGTTCTATCATATTGCTGTTGTCGCAGTTTTAGAAAAGCAGTCAGTGTGTGCAGAAATGCAGAAATTACTAATTTCTACCGTAAATTCTGATTCGAATAGTTTATTATGCTATCTCTAGGCAAATTACTTAATGACATATTTGTTCATTGCAATTATCTAACAATTAATACAATATTTCTTTTAGAAACACCATTTAATAATATTGCTAGTTTTATAAAATGAATAATTCACCCATGGTGGTGGATTAAATTTAATCCATTTATTTGAATGACAGTGGAGAGAGAGAGGAAGCAGGAAATGATGTGGCAGTGGAAAGAGTGTGGAGAGCAGCAGTGGAGAGAGAAGACAGGAAATGATTTGGAATGAGGGGGAAATAGCGAAATCAAGCTTGAACTTGCGTCACCCACAAACAGACATAATATATCATCCTGCTCCACAAAACTGTACTTTTAAAATTGGTGAGATCAGATCGCATTTAATGTTGACAGACGAGTTTTATTGTACCTATATGGAACATGGTTTATTTTCCTCTTTATGCAAGCATATGAACATTAATAAAGAACAGGTATAGCAGCAGAAATATAAACAAACATCTCCCTGTTGGGTCATTTCATATATCAAGATGTTTAAATAGCTCAGCCCTGCTGTTTTAAATAAAGTGGAGTTATCTGAACACACACCACAAAATATCAAGTGCTTTCATCTGATGACATGTTCTATATTACTGATGTTCTGTTCTGTCTCCAGCACATGCGGCAAGGCACAAGGCATATGATGTGTGTGTGACACAAACACATACATTTATCTACACCATCAAACACATCCATGCCATATATAGTACACCCATGTGTGATTTATGCTTCAGTATATATTTGAGTGAGTGTGTGTGTGTGTGTGTAACAGACCACTATAAACCAGACTGTGATTTGTTCTCTCCCAACTGTAAAGAAGCTTAGATTAATCATTGGTAAGCACAATTGTATACGTAGGCTATGACACCGTTTTCTCCTTAACACACTTTAGACCTTTCAAGGTCTCACAAACGGTGATGTTAAGTGAACTCAGAGCAGGGATAAAATGCTAATATATATATATATATATATATATATATATAGTATATATATATATTGATATATTGAAATTTTCTTAATTTAATTTTCTTATTAATAGGTAATCTTCATTGCCATTTAAGTGAAATTACTGATCTTAAATATACAAGCTTGATAAAAATTATGTAAATGCGTGTAAATGCATCTTGTTTTAAATATTGATTAGATATTTTCACTAAAAAGAAAAAAATCTATCATGTGTTTCCAGACAGCCCCCTCCCAAAAACCGAGGTAAAGCCAAAACCTATAACCAGGCCAGTGAAATACGTCAGCCCATAAACTCACTTTACGTTGGTGTCATTAATATAACAGAAAGAAATGGATAAATGACTGCATTATTTATGAGCTCCTTTTCCCGATGCACAACACAATATCTTCTCCATGCAATGCAACAGAACATTTTATCTTACCCAAAGCGCCATTACACCACTCCCACAGGAAACATTTATCAAAGAAAGACCTGGGGCAACATGAACCTCTCATAGAGAAAACAGAGAAGAAAAAGTCCAGCCTTCACTCGGAGCCACGCACAGCACACGAATGAGAATATTGACAGACTCAATGTATAAGATACGGCTTCAGCAAATGTAAACCAAGCGAGCTTCCCTTGTGCAAAGGTCAGGGAAATGCGAACATATCATGAGATAACAGCTTACAGTACTATATGTCTCATTCATGCAGTGTAAATGTGATGTTTGAATGGAAAACTATTACATCTGGATTTCAGGACTGGGTGATTGTGTAGCAGACTGCCTCAACTCAATTCCAGAGCACAAGTGTCTAATAACATCTGCTTTAATTTACGCTCTGATCAAACTAAATGTACATATTTTTACAAAAGCTAGAAGGGGAAATATTTCTCTCTGGGAAGTTCATTATTCACCAAATACGGATGTCTTGATATTATGTACTTGTAACATTATAAAACTGAAACCCTCCAAAAACATTCTTAATTGAATGTCGGCACATATTTGATGAGGTACTTGAATCTCAACTTGATCTGTTGCTCACACAGCACATAAATTCTAGTAAAGATTGGATATTTGTTCAGATAGTGCAGTTAATATATGGTATATCTATATTGATTGCCATAGTAAAAACAATGCCAAAAGCCTTGAGCACTACTACATTTTACCCATTCATGCATATGCCGTGTTCAAAACAGTTCCCTTGTTTGATTACTCAAACATAGTGAATAGCATGTGAGAGTAAATGAGACACTTTGTGTATTATATCAAAGCCATTCCGTGTCTCGAATGATGAGTGCTAAGTGAAATTTGATCTGACTCTACCAAATTAAATGCATTTCCAAAATCTTACTTTAAAACGATTTCAAATCACAAAAGGATAGCATTTTACTGCATTTCTGAACAGTGCGTAATTGCCTGCATCTGACAGGTAAAGTAAGTGCTCTATGGATTTAATATTAAAAAGCAGTGATCACCAAAGATTAGTAAAATATACCATTTAAAACTCCTGCTATGAGCGGTGGTGGAAAATCTATGTGCTTTAATAATCTAACCTCCACAAAAGGCCACTGCAAACACTTTCAGTGTGGTGTGGTGTGTGGAAATGCACAAATCCACACATTATAAATTTCATACATAAAAATAAGGCACCTTTTGGGAATAACCGGCCCGACGCCCATTTTCATGCAGACCACTTTACGAATCTGCACCCCGACAGCACAGGTGGCCGTTCCGTTCCAGTAGCTGGTGCCATTTAGATTCATGGAAGAGTCTTCAATGCATGGTCCCCATGGCGACGCTTCCCAATAGAACGAGATGCATGGATGAGCGTTACAAGTTCTCCACTCCTCCAGAGCAGTAGCAGCTGGACATGCCTTAGCTGAAATGTAAAAGATCATTAACTGCATTACAGATGGAAAACCCTCTCTTAAGTTTGCTTTAATGCTCCATAAAATGTTAACGAGCTACATGAGCACAAGAGGCATGAAGTCGAATTCTACTGGGACATGTGAAGTGATGTAGATATATGAATAGAAGAAAAAGAATAATTAAAAAAAATGTTCATGGTGTAATTTCTAAACCACCAGCATCAAATTATTATTTTTTAAATGTCTCATTGATTAAACGAGACAAACAAAATTGCCTCAAACTCACACCATTGGTTGAGTCGATGGTGCTGTTGGGCTCCTCAGTGCTGAAAGACCTAATGTCACAGTGTTTATCAGTGTTGTTATCATTAAATAAAACTATTAACATCATTTTATGTTAATTGAAATATAGTTGAAATACAATTTTGTAATATAAGAAGAAATTAGAATAGACTCTTCCATACAAACCAAAATAAATATCAGCTAAGCCGTATCAGCCAATTATTTGATATTAATGCATCCAAAAACTTCTTCCATCATTTTACTGTACTTGAAAACATACTAAACCTGACGCAAAGTGCTGAATGTGAATCCACGTGTGATGCAGGAACACATTTTGATAAATTTTGTTTGATCAAAAATGACTTCTGCACTTTTTTTTATAATTAAAAGTAATACCTACTCCATCTGCCCTTGAAGCTAATGACATTGTATTGACATTCAGCTTTTCTCCATAACACAGGGACTCATTATGAGTGTAACGTAGACCAGCTGAATATTAATAAGGGCTTGTCTGATTAATGACACTCTGTGGATGGTGTGTAGAGGTTGGGGCTTTATTTCCATTTCCAGATGCATAGAGATACGTGTATGTAAGAGCATGCATAATGCTGTTACTCAAGATGTACGTAGGCACGTATGCGTGTGTGCATGCGTGACTGCAGAGAGGGGGTGGGAGTAGTCTCTAGACTAAGCTATATTTAAGTCTTAATTACACAGCTCTTTTTGTCATTCCAGAAGGACTTTGTGTGATTGGAAAAGCCCACAGCTGTAAGTAGGCAGACAGAAAAATGAGACCCTGTGAACACATTTTTATCACAGCTCCCCTGAAACAAATATACCAAATGCAAAATTGCTCCTCCACTCACGAAAACAAACCGATTAATGGTGTCATGTCACCCTCAGAGTGATATTAGGAGTAAATTACTTCACTTGTCAAAACAATATGACAGCATTAACTGATGTTTGTTTATTTAAAGTTCATCAATATATTCCATGTTACATGCACCATATTAATTTGAATGCCTTACATTTTATTTTCTTGAATTGAAAATACATTTTTCAGACATTTGTAATAACCATTATCATCTAATTTCTGTAAAAGGTGAAAGTCAACTGACCTTCTCCAGGTAAGCCCAATACGGTCCGTGTGCGGCTTTGTCTGCCTTCTAAGTTTTTACTGGAGCAGCTGTGGGAGCAGGAGGACCAATCAGACCATGAGCTGAGCACACAGTCACCTGAACACGCCATCACACAGGACACCTCTTTAGGGGGCGACTCATCTTCACAGAGCTCCTCAGGAACAAGCTGCCCTGTTTAGTGGAACATAAGACGAGTTGTAATGTCACCATCGTTACTTGGTGTTGTTGACAGATATCAAGGGAGTTTATTGTTGTTTCAAAACGGGCACATTTGCCCATTTCTTTATTATACTGGCCATTGTGAACATTCAATATTCCAAAATATATAGTAAGTTGTAGACAGACAGACAGATAAAAAGATAGATACACAGTATTTCAGTTTTTTTGTACTCTTTTGATTAAATACATGCAGCCTTGGTGAGCATAAGAGACTTCTTTCAAAAAACTTAAAATAATCTTAACTCCAATTTATTATGGTACTGAATTCATAAATATTATTAATAAAAATAGATCAAATAAATACAGACATTGCATAAAAATGTGACACTTATAAAAGACTCTATATTAGTCAACCACAAACCCGAGTTACCTCTACAACACAGAAATTCAATGTGTTTTTGTGCATAGAGGTGGAATAAGCCATTCGATGAAATAGTCCCATAACTCAGCGTTACAAGAGTGAATCCCGATTATTGTGATAGGTCCCTACTAGGTCCCTATTATAAATGTGCTCATATTCTCTGCTTTCGTGTTTTAATGCAACTTTGATGAAGACTAAGTGGTTTTTATCTCCAAATAAGAGATCAACAGTTGTGATTCATCATCAGCCTTTTTGTGCTCAATCACAGAAATGGGAAACATGAAAACAGAGAAGGCAATGCAGATTTTATTATGATGAACACAACCAAGTTCTGAACACTAATACTTTCGTGACGGTCCAAACCCTCCCAATCAAGCCTGTCAAAGCAACGGCTGCACATCACATTGTAGCGATAACGCCATCATTTTCTCTATACAAATGATCTGCTCTTCGATCTTCAAACAAATTTACCACAGGAAATATTTGCTTTGTGTGTTGCCACTGATTTTACTTATGACTGCTTGATCAGACGGGCAGAATTTGTTTCCTTTACGAAGGAAAAGATTTGAACAGGAAACAGTATTTGACACAATGAACCAAAGGCCATTTCATTTATTGGATGCCAGTGAGCTATCAAAAAAAACAGAAGTGAAAGAGAGCTGGGCAGTCTGCTGAGGTTAGTGAGAGGAAAACTCTCATTTCATGCATGAAAGAGAGACATTAATCCTTCCATTCACTTCCCTAGGATTACAAAACTTTCCTTTAACAATTATTGAACCCTAAAAAAACATCCACAACAAACAGGCGTATTACATCCTTCTTATGTGCCACCATAAAGGATCAATTTCCTAAACCACTGAACGTGTGAAGAATCAAGCGGTCAATACGAGGCATCATTATTCCTCTTGAACTCTGTCATTCACTTTCAAACATGCAGTTAAGCAATAACAACCCAGGGGCAGATTTGTTATCTATGTATTTTCCCCTCCTGTTGTCAATGTATCCATGTCAAGAGCCAAAGAATGTGATATGGGTGATGTTCTTGATCCAATGAGGCATAGATGGAAGATATTCCCTAAAGCGTGTCTCCAGCCCTCCGCCTCCAACCTTTAGCATCAGGCTTCTTGAGTCATCAAAGCAAAGAGGCTGGTGAGGAGGGACTAGGCATGTTCTTGGCAATCAAATAGCTATTGCAAAACACGTTAGGCGACCACGTGACCCAGACTTCAATAAGTTTGAAGATACCTGTTGCGTGCACGAGGTGGAGGACCCCTGAGTGCAATTTAAACTGAAGACAGAACCGGAAACTTCCATTCATCTACACTAAAGTCTCTACTACACCATGAAATGCGGTTTTGAAAAAGAGCTATTTGGTCTATCCTTGACACTGACATCAGGGATCCAAAATATTGAAGAGATTTATTGACCCCTTGAAATGAGTGCATTAGCATTTCAACAGGCTCCTGCAATGCAGAGAAATATCAAGAAACACCTACCTACATGCACATTAAAATGTCTGTTTTGCTCACCAAGGCTGCATTTATTTGATCACAAATGTTGTGGCGGGGAAAGTATTATATATATATATATATATATATATATATATTTGGTCTTTTACATGAACTTCCTGTTTTTAATAGTTGAAATGTAAATTAATAATTGATCTGATTGTTATATGAATTTCTCTGACTTTTTAAATACCAATATTTAATTTGTTTTACTAAAAAATAAATAATTTATTTGAATGTTTATAATTTCAAAGCTAATTGACTGCCATTGAACTTGTGTTTGCATAATTGAAGAATTGAAGAACCCCTTAATTGGAGATTCGCCCACATGTCCAGAAGCTGGTTGACAAAGGCAGTCATGGTGTTTCAAATCAAATAAAATAGGTATATTACCTTGACTAGCTATGTCAGCCTTTTCAGCAGGAATGCCATGTTCCCATAAAGTTAGAGATAATACGGCAAAACTTTGTACATCAAAGCATTCAGTATAAATGGTGATGAGTGACAGTAAGTTCACAAAAAGCTCCAGAGAAAGAAAATAGCAGGAATTATACTGCGAAAATGACAATTCAAGAGTCAGAAATAAAAACCAAGCAGTATTCATTTTAACCAACTGCGCAGGGCTATTATTTTCGTCTTCTGAATAATGCACAAACTGTAATTCCATAACAGATGCTTGGCAATTTGAACACCCAATTGTAATAAATTAAATTGCAGAAAGAATAATGCCAGAGCTCCAAATAACATCACCGACTTACAGGTCATATTGCAGGCATCAAATGATTCCAGCTTCCCACCTCCCTAAATCAATCCACTTTCCCTCTGTGTTATATTATATCAGAAATAATTGTGAAAGTTTGAAAGGAACACTTTGCCCCAGGAGGGCCGGATGAAAATGTGCATGCAGATTGCAGAAATTAACCTTAACAGCCCACACGGAGAGCAAAAGCACTGGAAGGGCCACATCTTTCTGGCTGATATCTCTTTGGCTCACTTGCATTTAAGAGGAAAGGAGAATAAATAAATAAAATAGTGCTGCTTGTGAGCCCCCCTTAATCTGTGTACCATTTCACGCTGTTCAAAACGTACAAAACCATCCACACAAAAATGAAAGTGTAGGAGGGAAAGAGATCAAGAGAACAACCCCTCGATTTGCCTGCAAGCACAGACACAAAACTATTTTTGTGTACTATGATAAAGAAAACAAACGTGGCATCTAAAAAAAAAAAAAATCTTTGATTTAATCCCACATTGAATTTTGAACAGAGTTGAAACAAAGTCATAATTGGAAGCAATAACGAGAGTAACATGAGACCAGTTCTTAGATCAGTTGTCAGTGAACACCTGATGGATGAAAGCAGATTCATCATTCATTTTTCAGACATAGTCAAGGACAAACCCATTAAATTAATAGCTTACAAGGGATTAGTCTTTTTACAGTCTAAGAGAGCTAAAATTAACCCTTTCACGCGTACGATCACACCGGTGTGATCAGTCTTGGCTGGTCCCTGGAGCGTACGATCACACCGGTGTGATTAGAACGTTCAGTGCACACGTCAGCAACTGCTAAAATTCAAACTTGCTCTCGCGCGTTGGCTGGCGCTCAGCCAGAGACAGACGCACTCAGTGCTGTCATATATCACAACTATTGAGTGTTTTCAACCACATAATGTTTATTTTAGGTTTCAGACATTTAAATACACATATGTACTAGCAAAACAATGATTTTAAGTTTGTAAAATACATACAGATGTCAATGGAAGCGGCAATAATAATCCTTTCAATTATAATAAGACGACACGTTTTATTCATATCAGATACACATTGTGTAAGTAGCTTAACATTTGATCCTATTCTTCTCCCAGTTCACCAGCCACTTACTATCATGTATTTCGTGAGAAGTGGAGGAATTGACGTTATAAATCCAACAGATTCGATTCTCTGAACTGAAAACGAAACTAAAATGGCGCCGCCCGTTGTGCATACAGCTCAACTAACGCGATCGTTATAAAGATGTCTAAACAACAAAACCCATCCACTTGCACATATTTGACAATCGGAATATCAGTGTTTCATTATATAGCTAATACATTTTTGAATATTTTTAATAAAAAAGGAAAAATGACATAAAAGCAGATCATCATTCATTCCGCGCTCTGTTCTGGTTGTGCTGTGTCACGTGACAAGCAATGACGCGTCACCATGGAAACATTAAAGTGGCAAGTTCTAAATAACGGTCGCCTTGAAAAACTCACGCTGGGGGGTCAGTTAGAATATTTTAAACTTACGTGTGAAATTAATTACCAAAAATATGATACAAGCTCTTTAAATCATTCAAACTCGGAATCAATTTTTTTGCACCATTATCAGCACCAACAGGGGCGTGGCTAAAAAGAAGATGAGTACAATTAATTTTAGCTTAGATTAGACATTCTTGAAAATTGGAAGCGAGCTTCAGTGTAACACATGCTCATGCTTTTAACACATGTTTTTGGAAAACGCTCTCCAAAGCGGATAAATTTGAAAACGCTGCTTTCGTGTTGTAGTGTGGACTGTGAAGCCGGCGGTATTTGAAAACGATGACGTAAATTTAGTCATGTGATCCATGTTGTACCAATAGATATTCATATACCGGTATTGGGCCTGTTATGTGCTTCACTTTCACGCTGTTGCTAAAATATGTTGCTTTTGAAACTCTTCATATCACAGTCCTGCACAGATGACAGAAAATGTAGTCACATTTGCTGTCATGCGCCAATATGGGAGAGTAGTTGCGTTTTAGACCAAACATGGCGACTGAGTGCGACCAGAACGCATCAGTGATGGTGAGATATTTTGCTAAATAAAATTATCCTGTTTGAAGAATTGCGTGATAAATTTATTATTTATTTTTCTATCTGCATCATCTCGGTGAGCTTTCATGAGGTTTCATGCATGCACATTAAGGTGAATTTAGAAGTTGATCAAAATGAGACAAAATGAGAATGACGAAAATCCATTTGTTGGACCTGTTTGAAAATATGTGAAAATATATTGAGCTTGTGTTAACCACATACTTTATTTTAAGCATTTAAAAAATAAAA